AATAATTTATAAAGCAAATCTTCAATATTATAAACTTTGATTCCAGATAGTGCTCTGAATGTTGGTGTCATCAGATTTACTGAATATCGTTGTGTTGTTCATTTAGTGTTTTAGGAGCAGTTTAAAAGTTTTCTTTTTTTTTTGCCTAGTATGCCCCCTAGCAGTGTCGCCTTGGATTATATGTTGCTTGCTCTACTTACTGAAGAAACCTCAGTAGATTTATAAAATGTATTGTGTAATGTTCAAATGTGATGTCTCTGAAATGGTATAAATTAATAAATACACCGATCGTACTTATCTACTGACTAGTTATATTGGGTCAAATTCCGATTCCTGCCATGCACCGACATCACGACCAGCATGCACCTGCTTTTGCTGCTCTTCTCCTTTGAAAAGTCTTTATTAGCGAGCACATCATGTAATGGCAATTGGTGTCTGCCTCTGTTCGTTTGTTAGAAGTCCGAAATCTCAGGGTTGTCTTTAGGGACAGCCGAACCGGAACAGTTGCTGCAAGTCCTATCAACTTCCAGTTGGGTGAAATCAACCCTGTAGGAAAAGGGGAAGGACGTAAAAAACGGAAATCTTACCGCTGTATGCACACAGCTGCTTGGCGGGTTGGCCTACGCACAGTGCTGCAGGCGTCATCTTCAATAGCAGTCACACTTTATATTGCTTCCTTCCAAGCGATGTGCACCGCGCCGCACCCGAAGCGTTGTCACTTCGCCCACCCGAGACGGGGACGGGGCAAACGTTTGGTGTAACTTCTCCGCTAAGCCAGTAAGATCCTATCGTCGGCCAGCTAACGAGGTGCTCCACCCTTCTCCCCGCCCCACCTCGCCCCAGCCTCCAGCCTCTTTTGTTGTCTCATCTCTGAGGGAACTCTTCATCACCGCCAATCCCCTTCCATAGAACAAACGCCACACCAAACGCCCTGTTGCTAGAAATGGGAGACGGCAAGGAGGGGGGGGGGGTCTCTATTTACCCTCTGGTAGAGACAGTCTTAGGGAGTGTCTTAAAACGAGACACAAGGCTCCTAGCTGAGGCGTGGCCGAGCAAGTGGATGCGGAGGGGAGGGGGGCGACAGGACGGAGCTGGCGGTCGCCACACACGACATACCAAGTCCCTTCTCCCGTGCGGCCCTGTTCTAAAGGATAAGCTTGGGG